TTCCTTATGTTTTACAATAATAAATGGACTCTCTTCGTCATGTTCTTTCCTTATGTTTTACTACAATAAATACTCTCCTCGTCATGTTTTACTAACAATGATCAGGCTATCCTTGTCATGTTTTCGCTATAATAAATGGACTCTCTTCGTCATGTTCTTTCCTTATGTTTTACTACAATAAATACTCTCCTCGTCATGTTTTTACAACAATGAATAGACTCTCCTCGTCATGTTTTTACAATAATGAACAGGCTATCCTTGTCATGTTTTCGCTATAATAAATGGACTCTCTTCGTCATGTTTTTACAATAATAAATGTTATTTCCTTATGTTTTACTATAATAAATAGACTCTCCTCGTCATGTTTTTACAACAATGAATGGGCTTTCCTCGTCATGTTTTCGCTATAACAAATGGACTTTCTTCGTCATGTTTTTACAATAATAAATGTTCTCTCCTCATGCTTTTACAGTAATAGATGGACTGGCCTCGTCATCTTTTTACAACAAAAAAATGGACTTTCCTCGTCATGTTTTACAATAATAAATGTACTTTATTCGTCATATTTTTATAATAAAAATGGACTCTCTTTGTCAAGTTTTTATAATAATAGATGGACTATCATTATCGTGTTTTTACAACAATGAATGGACTATCCTCGTCATGTTTTCCATTCATTGTTTTAAAAACAAGATAAGGATAGTCCATCTATTATTGTAAAAACTTGACAAAGAGAGTCCATTGTTATTGTAAAAATATGACGAAGAAACTACATTTATTATTGTAGAACATGACGAGGAGAGTCCATTTGTTGTTGTACTTTAATAAGTGGATTCTCCTCATCATATTTTTACTGTAATAAATAGATCTTTTATGTTATTTTTCGGAGTTGACAGACTAAATGAACCACCTTGGTCATGTTTACCCTCATGGATGGTGTCAGACTTTGGATAAATCAATTTTCGTGAGTCATTCTGAAAATGGATTTCAAGCCAGTTCAGAAGATTAATGATCGATGTTGAACTTGTTTGATACATATAAACACTATACTTTGGTGAATTGTTATAATATCTAGGACTAACTGCTAAATTTCATGGTGTGAAACGGAAACGGCCATTTTTGAGGATTTTTACTTCGGAATCCATAAGAAAATGATGTTATTTTGTCAATACTTTTTGGAAACTTTACGCTACTATCTTTTAGATAAATGCTATATTTTTTTACATTACAAACGAAGACAAATAACATTAATGCACTTTTCCATTTCCGCGTCAAATTTTTACGGTATTACAGCTATTTTTTTTGTAAACTACATAAATAAATTAAACGTTCTAACAACGACCTTTCTGACTAGCTCGATATTAACCATTTCTCTGAAGCTTTCCTGTGCATTCTTAATACACTTCTTACCCTGGGAATGGAGTCTTTAACGCCACGTGAGTTGGTGATGACAGTCAAGATGGTGGTAATCCCTAGAGCTACTCGCGCAGGAACAGCGTGGATGTCCAACCAGAAGGAAATCCACGAGACTATGACCAGTAACATTACAGGGACGTAGACCTCGATCATGTAGTATTTGAACTCTCGTTGCAACGTAAACGATGCTTTTAAGCCGCTGTAATTTCCTAAGTTACGATACGTGTACGTTAAGATTTTATCTTAACGTAATTATTAAAAGTCCTAATATTTGCACCTCTAATCACAAAAACGTTCAGTGAAAAACTACATTTACTACAGCCTTTAGTTTTGGAGTCACTTTTGCTAAACTGTTTTTATTAATTTACAGTAAAACATCAGACGCCATGACCCTTCGTACTGCTTAAAAAACAAAACAACAAAATATAAACAACTTTTAACTAATAAACGCTGTTGTTATTATCTATCGAATAAAGTGTTTCACAATTAAATTCTGATCATAACTTTCCAGGAAAATATAAATATAAAAGATTTTGTCCAGAATTCTTAAAATATAAGATACATTTTGTTGTTTTGTTTGCGCTTTCCATCTCTTCAAAATAAAGATTAGATCACGATCAATGGTAATAAACTCTACGTTAGAAAAAAAAAAAGAAAGCCACAAAAAACGCCACCTATAATACTGAATTTCTATTAAAACAAAAACAATACTTATTTTATTCAATTGGGTTTAATTTTATTTGAATTACTATTTAAAGAAACATTCAATATATATTACCTAGTACAATAATAAATGTTCACTAGAACTTGGAGACGAGAATAATTTCAATACTGACAGAGATTTCCTTTTGTTTTGGCCTAACATGACCCGGCGGTTAGGGGTTCCGGGTTGTTCGAATCCCCGTCACACCAAACATGCTCGCCCTTTCAGCTGTTGGTGCGTTATAATGTGACGATCAATCCAACTATTCGTTAGTAAAAGAGTATCCCAAGTGTTGTGGTGTTGGCTACTTGCCGTCTCTCTAGTCTATCACTGCCAAATTAGGGAGTGTTAGGACAGATAGCCCTCGTGTAACTTTGCGCGAAATTCAAACCAAATTTTTTTTTTTTACTTTAATAAAACACTCGAGAGTATTATTGGGATTACGGATGAAAACGTCGCTAACAGCGAGGGTACTAAAGAGATGAAATATTACATTCAAATCACTAACATTTCAAAAGCAAGAAGAATACGTTGTATTGGCCATGGTCAATGTTTTGACCAGCGGTTAGTCCCAACAACAATTGTGCCTGTAATGCTTACCGTTAGTGAGTTGGATATTCATTCACAAGTCAGAGAAAATTTGAAACAAATTATTGAGTTTTTGAGTAAAAAGGCATCTATATAGTCCAACGGTTGAATAAAGGACCGGAAACTTTTCCGGAAGACGATTTTTACTTTCATTTTACGTTTCAAGTTGTTTGTTTTAAGATAATCGGTTTATTGAAATATCTCACATGATTTTTATAAGATGCTTTTTTTTGACAGTTTTTATTAATAAGTACTTGTACTGACATTTTATGGTAATGTTATATATTTCTATAAAATATATATTCAAATCCGGAAGGTTACATTGTTATATTTTCGCGCTCAAAGTTGAAGAGTATATTAAGGTGTGTGGGATATGTTTATACATTGAGGTATCTTTAGGTGTTGGGATATGTTTAGATGAAGGGTATTATTAAGCGTTGGAGTAATTTTAGAAATACAGTATGTTTACACGTTGCGATATGTTTAGATTTGGGGGTGTATTTATGCGTAGCAGTGTGTTTAATTATTGTGTACGTTTAGGTTTAACAGTGTGTTTAATTGTTGTGCTATGTTTAGGCTTAGCAGTGTGTTTAATTGTTGTGATATGTTTAGGCTTAGCAGTGTGTTTAATTGTTGTGATATGTTTAGGCTTAGCAGTACGTTTAATTGTTGAATATATTTAGGCTTAGCAGTACGTTTAATTGTTGAATAAATTTAGGCTTAGCAGTATGTTTAATTTGTTGTGATATGTTTACATGTAGATCTATGAGATGATGCTGAAAATTGTTTAGACATAGAACTATGTTTAAGTGTTGGGGTACGTTTAAATGTTGGAGTATGTTAAGGTATTTATGTGTTCTACATTTAACACTTTTTTTCAGTGATTCCATAACATTTCAAGAGTGGTGAATATAATATTTTACAACGTGACGAGGTACATATTAACGTAGATAGCAAGAAAGGTTGTTTTATTACAACAACTAGTTATATAATGGCAGCTTTTACAAAGTAACATTTCTTTGGTTAAGTCGAAGATGAGCAGATCTTTTAAAAATTAAATGCAGAATAGTGAGTTATGGTGTATCCTGGCTCTTCCTTTTTTAGCTGATGACTGTTTTTTTCTCTCTCTCTCTCTTTTTCAAATGATCAAGTGAACCTAGGCTAAAGTATTATTTATACTGACATTCTTTATCTTACCGGAATAGATAAAGCCACACGTATCACATGAAGTTTGTTTTTTTTCAAGTATCACAAACCAGTTCACTCTGTAGTTGTTTTCTTAGTGTAAAGTTACTTATTGGGCTTTTTGCACTCTGTCCACTGCAGGAGAATCGAACTCCAGATTCTTGAGTTGTAAGTCCTTAAACTTACTGCTGACCCACCGGGGAACAAACATTACTGAAACTCAGACGAATTCAGAGTCCACTCTGATTCGTTCTTTATAAGTGAGACTTTCTGGTTTTAAATAAGGAGGGTTATAAAAGGTATACGAAAAAATAAATTCAATCAAATACTTCCAAGCTTGTAAAATGTATATTTCTGTATTCCTTTACAAAGAGCTTTACACGTTCTCCCTGTGAGGCTCGCCCCCTCTGTTTCAGATTTATTTATTTAGTCCTGTAAGTTTGTTTTGTTTGGAATTTCGCGCAAAGCTACACGAGGGCTATCTGCGCTAGCCGTCCCTAATTTAGCAGTGTAAGACTAGAGAGAAGGCAGCTAGTCATCACCACCCACTGCCAACTCTTGGGCTACTCTTTTACCAACGAATCGTGGGATTGACCGTCACATTATAACGCTCCCACGGCTGAAAGGGCGAGCGTGTTTGGTGGGACGGGGATTCGAACCCGCGACCCACAGATTGCGAGTCGAGCGCCCTAACCACCTGGCCATGCCGGGCTTTTCCTGTAACTCACAAGCACATAAAACTATCTTCTTGACCATGACACTTTGCTTTTCTGGGTTTCTTACCTGTTGAGCCATAAAATCTGTTGCTATCGTCGCACACGATGCTAGATGAGTCCAGCGAATGCTCAGGCAGACTCAGCAAAGGAAGAATCAGGCAGTTTTTGGTGTCTTTCCACTCTAATATCAACATGTTGGCGTCATAAGACCCTGCCATGCGTCAGAGTTGCAGAAAATACCATATCAATAAGTTATAATTAAAAAATTCAAAATTAAATACAATAATACAATAACTGTTAAAAGTTTAAATGTTGAAAGTCGGTAAAGCATTAGAAACCAATAGGCCTAAAATTTGTGATATAAATCACGTAAGTTGTAAATGTTTTTCTCACATGTAAAAATGACATTTCAGATGTATCTTTTGTCTCCTAAAAGTCACAGCCCAAGAGCCTTTAAATAGTAACTTTTAAAGTATTATACTACAATTTATAAATAGCGTTAAAGAGAATCTTTTGTCTCTCCTCGTCCGGCCCAGCTGACGAGTTCTGGTACTGAACGAAAGGCCTCTTGGGCAGTAACTTGTGGGAGATAGAAGATAGATCTGAAATGCTGCTTTTACACGCCTCTGATTTTGAATCCGAAATGGACAAATTTAGAAGAATGTGAAAACAGGAAACGTGCAGTCTACGTGACTTGTATCACAAAGTTTAGGCCTATTATTTTAACCTCCGTTGTCTTGATGATGAGCAGTCTACGTGATTTGTCTGACAAGTTTAGGCCTATTATTTTAACCTCCGTTGTCTTGATGATGAGCAGTCTACGTGATTTGTCTGACAAGTTTAGGCCTATTATTTTAACCTCCGTTGTCTTGATGATGAGCAGTCTACGTGATTTGTCTGACAAGTTTAGGCCTATTATTTTAACCTCCGTTGTCTTGATGATGAGCAGTCTACGTGATTTGTCTGACAAGTTTAGGCCTATTATTTTAACCTCCGTTGTCTTGATAATGAGCAGTCTACGTGATTTGTATCACAAGTTTAGGCCTATTATTTTAACCTCCGTTGTCTTGATGATGAAATAAAGGGTATAAAAAAACGTACTTTTTTTATCAAACCCTTTATTAAAATTCAGTGAGACAGAAATAACAAATTATCATCCATTTGACAGAATTTGTTAATATTAAACTACTCACGACCCGCAAAACATTTGCGGTAGTTTTCATGCCTTTCGCTTGAATTTTCCTTATTCTATCATTTTCACGCACGCCATTTAAGCTACGCTTTCTTGCAGGCATTATGTGTTAGATCGATAATCCTGGCCTATATGAAAACATTTGACGAGGTTAGACAAAGAAATGCACGCACACGTAACTTTATTTAATAAAACTATATGTAAAGTAAACAATAAAGTATAGTAATGGTATTTATAATAGTGTACAGAGTATGAAACAGTTATGAACGTTCAGTGTGCGACAGGGGTTTTACGAGTTGAAACAAAGAAACTTACAAAAAACGAAGAATAAAACCCAAATTAAAGAAAAAAGTAGCTAAAAGGTGTTTATAGCAGTCTATGAAACGAACCGAAGCTAAATTATTGCAAATTAAAGAAAATCTAAAGTTGTAATGAAGGCAACCATAGCTGATTATGCAGAAACGTCTGAATGCGTGTTCACAAAGTGATAAGCATATGGTTTTGAACGAACCGCGCATGCGTATTTTAGATCTGAATAAATTCAAGAGAACCAATAGCAAATGTATTTAGTGTAATGTTCATTTTTAGGAAATTACACGTGGATTAAGTGTTGTTTGTGTGAAATACTTTGCAAATAAATAAAGTTGAAATCGAAGCCAGTCGTCACGTGATGACAACGACATTTTGCCATTGTTTAGCATACTCGTTGCATTAAAAAAGTTTGTTTCTTTGTTATGGATTTCGC